GCCTGATTCCGCACCAGAGGAATACAAGAAACTTGCCGAGCGGTGTTGTGATGCTGATCCTGATAAGCGTCCAGATATAGGGAGACTTTCGAATGATATTGACAAGCTTTTTTGGGACATGGACAATTCTAACATATGGAATACTACCTATCATAACGATGTAAAACCCTTATCACGTCTTGAGAAGGAGAATAAATATTCTAGTAAGCTCCTACCTACTGGAGATTTGCCTAAACCGAGGAACAGTTACGATTCAGTTGCAGGTAACTGTTTACATGTTGATATTTAAATAACATCATTTTGCAATACTAACGTCGTCGTCTATTTAGTGACTCAAAATTTTGAATAAGGATTAACCATGACTGTTATGTCAAAAGCAATCGAATTAACAAAGTTTCAATGTAAAAGGTACTGATTTTGTGGTAGTAATTCTGTAGCGAGCTTAAACATATAATAATAAAAGCATAGTGTTTGCAATGGGAAATGTACCGTATAACATGTTAATGGCACATTGAATATTCCTATTTTGTAGAGTTTAATCGAAACACCACAATCTATGAAGAGACATTCGTGTTTAATACTGTCAATAACTTTTTGGAAAAATTTTTGCCCGGCTGCCCAATACGGTAAACAATAGGTTTCGGGTGACGGCAATTCAATTTTTTCGTCAAAGTTAGGGTTAGGATGAAAACATAATAATAAACTTTTCGTTGTCAACATGAGTATTTTGTCCTAACCCCTATTTTATGTAGACATTTGTGTAATGTAGGCATCTCCCTACTAATTATTTCCGAACGAAATATCATTAATATTCAATAGCGAAACCCGTTTAATTGTTTAATTAGTTAAAATTAAATAGAAAGTGACGAGATACCCGACTAGTCGAAATACTAAATCGAAGAACGCCCTGTTTTAAATTAAATACAAATTCCCCTTCATTATTGTTGTTGTTACGATATTGCTATAGGTAACCCTTATTTAGAGACGAGTATAGGTTTTACTCCGTTTAGGGAATTAGGCGCGCAAAACAAATAAGTCACTTATAAACTTACTGTAGTTCAGTCTTAATTGACAATCGCCAATAGTAAGGGTGGCGATCTGAGTTAAATTTGGTAATAATTATGGCTCTCTCAAATAATACACTAACCGCAACAGTATGAGCTATTTGGATCCAAGTTTTTCAGCATGCATTGTATTATGTATTGCATCATAACCTCTTTGGCAAAACAAACCAACTTACACCAGTCATTATGGTATTTATCTTCATCAGCCATCACTGTTGAGAACTCAGCAAACAATCGAGTTGTACCTCATTATGATTTAATATAATGCTTGTCCAATCAACTTACTATTACGAAAACCTTCCTGGATATATTAATTGTTTGACTTAGTTATTTAAAAGTCGGAGAAATTTATTTGCGAAAAACAGGTAAATTTATAATGAAACAAAGTAGTATTACACAATTATTAGTTAACAATTAGGATATTTGATAGCAAATTTTTTTATGTAACTTATAATAAAGGGAAATCTGTTTAATAGACGTAAATCGTTAAAATATCTTTTCTAATAAGCATAAATGCAAACCCCATAAATGCAACGTCCCAAGGCGTGAATTTATGGAGGTTTTACTGAATTGGTAGTTTGAGCCATATCGAGGTTGTAGTCAAATAAAATCAAAGGTGAATGATACTTCATCAGGAGCGGGACAGTCCATTTATAACAAAGATGATGGCATTCATATTCATACAGTTAATTACAACGTCTGTCCAATTTCTCGGCCGAGAGCTCTTATCAATAGACGCGACATGTCATGTGAACCGAAAAATTTTTAAACATGGCGGAACAATATTGATACATCCCTGAAATCTTCTCCCTGCCGCGTCTGCAAATTTTTTCGCGAACATGTTTATACGATTAAACCTAGACTTTTACCGCGACAGTATTATTGATGATTGGACGTGTCTTAACTTGGTAGATTTTTATCGAGCAGAACTAAAACAAAAGGATTTGAAACAAGTGCTGGACCGGATAAAGAAAGACCTTGCAGAGGTGGCAAACCCCGAACTTGGATTTGACGTGACAAGAAGAAAAAGGGCTCAGCAAATTCTGGACAACTGGAAAGTATGATTTTTGGTAATCTGAATGGTTAAGAGGTTATCTGAACAGTGACGAACTGCTAGTTCGACACTTGGTGCAAGCTGGGACTGCTAGTCTCCAGTGATGAACTGCTAGTTCGACACTTAGTGCAAGCTGGGACTGCTAGTCTAACAAGGATGAGCTCTTAGCCCAATACTTTCTTTATTTATATTTCATTTAAATATTTTAAAAGACTTCTAAAGTTTTGTCTGTTAAGAGTTGGGCTATGTCAGTAAAGAATGTTAAAAAGGATTGTGCACGAGTCAAGGTCAAACATCTGCAGGTAATAGTAAAGCAGATAAATCAGCTTTCAACCGGAGGTGTAGCTATATATAATGATAATCACCACACGATTTTGGGGAAACGTCGTCAAGAAGCAGATGATGAAAATAATATGAATATCGAAGGGGCTGTAAGTTTGGCAAAAAAGGTGAATCTATTAACCTATTAATTCTTTACTGAATGTCAATATTTGTTTACGATAAATAAACAATTGCCATATTGTCTTTTCATCTCAAAATCAAACACAAGGCAGGATCTGAAAAAAGAACAAGAGTTGCTGTATCGGACTATTGTAAATTGAAAACAACAGATGAGGAGGTCGATCTCTTTGAAACCATCTCTCAAGAAAATGAAAGGGAAGCTACAGACACAGACAAAAACTTTCCTCAAGAAAACGAAGAGAAAGCAACAGCCATGAGACAAGTCAGTGATCTTAATGAAGAGCAGGTCTCGAGAAGGCAGCATTGTAAAGACAATGGCCCCTACCCCCTAATGGAAAGTTCAATCTTTGTGGATGATGAGATTATAAGAATCGATGATGTTCCACTTGAATTATCTTTCGAACAAGGAAACCTAGCAAACGACTTTCGAATAAAAGATATTAATGTCTCTGAATTATTCCGGCAATTCCAAAACGGATCAAAGAACGTTGCAAAGAGCAAGGGTCTATTTGTGGAATCAAATGTACACGAACTGTTGTCATTATCTTCTATTCTCATGCTTATCCCAAACTCTCACTCAAAGCTAATGACCAATATATTTGGCACCCGGGTTCTTGATGAAATCCATCGCTTTACTATTCCGGCATTGAAAAGTACAATAGATCCAGAGAGTGAATTAAAATTTAGGGAGGCGATTAAGTTAACAAGAAAGGAATCTCGAGATAGTACCATAAAGTGGCTGATGGGAGAACTTCTAAACGATCCAACTTTGAGTCAGAATTTGGGTCAGCTGATGTTAGAATGTCTTAGAATATTACCAAAGGAAAAAATCCGTAATGAACCCAGTGAATTAACGCTGATCACGAATTACCTCGACTATATCATGAAGCAGATATTGCATGATCCGGACGCACATATAGTTGAGTGGTCGAACGCGGGTCTTTGTGAAAGCAAGGCGAGAAAGCCAAAGGGGCAATGCAAACAACCTGATTTCGTCGTGTCTACTATCGACCAGCTGCAGAAGAGTGGTGTTCTTTTCGTTGGCGAAGTCAGTCCACCTTCGGAAATAAAAGACGTATACAAGAATTGCAATGATTTGATTCGGATCGGCATTTTTATGAAAGATTGTCTCGACTCGGCCATAGACAAGGGTGCCGACCTGACAATTCTAGGCTTTCAATGCATCAGTAAGGAGAAATATGTTGGTTTTTCTTTCTCAAATACGCAATTCACTTATGCGCACTTGTTTTCCTAGGTTACACTGTTGATTTCTATACGATGAACCTTGTCAGTGAAGGAATATATGTCATGAATAATATTGGTCGGGTGAAAATTCCTGCGTCGTTGAAAGATCTGTCAACCTTCGTTGATGATATAGAAACTCTTCTAACAATTAGAGAAATATTTCAGCGTTCTTTTGTGACTTATTTTGATGCGCTTTGTAATCCGACTTCATCGACAGTCAAAAAACAGACTTTCAAACGTAGCACACTCTGTTCTCCTCAATTTGAGCAGCTTGTGAGTAGGACGCAGGACTGCCATAGAAGCTGCCCATTCTGGTTCGGGTGTTAATAAGAATAATAATAATATATAAACAAGATTCCGAATAAATAAAGAATGATCTTTTGCTTGTTACCTAAAATGAACCGTCTTCTCTTTTATCGTTTGTATTACTTTTGTTGACAAGTATTGGTATAGGTTATCGAAAATTTTATCTTTTCGTTTTCTGTGCTGCATTTGTAATTTAATGCGCTTTATTTCGCTATTTTTAGGAACTAATATGGTCAAATGAAAGGAGTTTTATGTTTGTCAGAGTAGTTTCATAACAGAAACCATAGGTTTCAATCAAACGCAAATTTATTCCGTACCGTAAATTAGTTTGGAATCTCGTATCGTTTGGCTTAACATTTATAAATTCTTATCACGAAAGTGATAAAATATACATATAGGAATAAGTGTATACAATGAATAATAATTACAATGGTTCTACTGAATATGAAAAAGCAATACATTTCTTTGCAATTATGGTTGTTCAAAAATGAAGTTTGCCGGATTACGTGAGGCGTTTCAAGCTCTCTTTAGATCCGAACAAGATATATTTACAATAACTCAGCTGAAGGCAATGAATGAACTGCCAATCGACATCTTAAAAAGAAAACGCGCACTAATAAGAGAACCTTTTATTATTGAGATCGCAATACGCCACTTTGTCAGAAAACATATCTCAATATGTTAGGAATTGGTCGCACTTATTTGGAAACCATAAAAAACCATCTAGCAATGAATGGTATAATACCGTGCGTTTATGGTAATGTAAAAAGAGTGCCGCGATGGAAGACTAAAATAACCATCGACAAAAACGTTGCTACAGCTGTAAAGAATTTTCTTGAAACTATGCTGAAATTTATGAATTACCAAGTCCTGGTAGAAACATCAACCGAATTACTCAATCGCAGGTCTCGAAATTGTTAAAATATTATGCGTTCTGTAAGTTATACTCGGATTTATGTGACACGTGCCAACATTTTCGGAACGGCTCACAGTATAATGTTCGTAAGGTATAATGCTCGTAAAGAAGAAGCAAAAGATTTATAAAGAACATCTGGTTAAGGCTAAATTAGAGAGAAATTATTACGAAATTAGCAGGACAACAGAGAAATTGGTAGATGAGCATTTTATGATGAGAGGTAAAACTGATGTATAATTGAGCGCAAAATGTTCACGTGTCCCATTCCGATCAACAGATGAGTAAGATTTATTATCTCAGTTCGCGTAAAGTACATTTATTTGGGATTCAAGATGGAGCAGTGCGCGAACAAATTAATTACGTTCTTGATGAGGACAAAATCATAGAGAAAGGACCTAACGGCACGCTAAGCATGGTGTTCGATGAAATAAAGAAATTGAATAAAGGTGAAAAGTATTTAATGATTATGGGGGTGATCAGAGTAAAAATAATGCTACTATTTGTATTTAATAATTAAAAGTGTCAAATTGTACTGGACATACTAAATTCAGTGTGATGGTAGTTTTGGATTGATTAAAAAACTATATCGCAAAACGACTGTAGATTGTGTGGTGTGGATCATATTGTTAAAGTTGTGAAAAAATCAAGTACGGCGAGATTAAACAAATCTCAGTGCTATGCCAATGGAAAAGGCTTTCAGTACTTAGATCTTAATTCTGTGTTGGGAATTTTCTTTAAGAAATTGAATGGTTTGCAAAAATATCAACGTTTTTTATTTGAAGCAGTCAACCCCGGAGTTGTCAAAGCTCAACTAATTGCTAATAATGCTTTTACTTAATTTAATTTGTTGAAAACCAGAAAAGCAAGTGTTTCTGAAATTTAAATTACCAAAGAAATTTCCATCCTAGTACTGACTCCTCCTTTAGATTACAAAAGACAAGAATATCTGTATCATAATTGTCAGAGATGAATTTAAAGACACTACTTGTCCAAGACCAGCAACTAATAAATATTTAGACTAAAATCTTCTCCATCATTTCAATGCTATTAATTTCCTACTGTCATCAAGTTCATGCTGATCTGATGAATAGCACTCCCAATCCCTCAAAAGTTAGGGTTATTTCTATTTTTAACTACTCCATGCTTCCCCGCCCCTTTTAATTCAGATAAGTAAGTCACATGATAAAATCTTCCTCCGCAGTTAAACAAACCCATGATCGACATTTTACTTCAGTAATACAGATATTAATTTAGTAGCGTGTCGCTAATTAGCAACGTGTCGCAAAATATGTGACAGCACAAACGCTAAAATTAATTGTTCTTCATAGTATAATAATTTATATAGAAGCATGTTTTTTTTGCGACGCAAAAGATATATAAGTAGCTTTCCTCCATCGTCAAATATTCATGTTTTATGAACATCGATTATGATGTTATATGTTCGAATGTTGTAAAAACATCGAAAAGTTGAAATTGTTATGAACAAATAAATATTACTGAACTTAGTAATATTCTTCCGAAATCCTTTATTATAAATATACATAATTTAATATTCTATCGTCGAAATAATTGATTAAGCTGTAACGGAATAGCATTGATTTGGTCAAGCTAATAAGCTGTCCGCGGATTAATTACGTGAATAACGGAATGAGAGCTCATAATTAAAATATTGTTTAATTAGTTTAGTAAAGACAAGATAAGTGACGGATACCGACTAGTCGACAAACAAATCGAAGATAGCCCTGTTTAATTTTAAAATAGTATTATCCTTCGATTCTTTAATAGAATAATTGTTGTTATTATTCTATTAGAGGTACCCTTATTTGTATTCACGAGTGTTTGAAACTCGGTGAGGGAGTGAGAAGCGCGCATAATTAAAATAGGTCACTTGAGGCTTAATTCAGTCTTAATTGTACAACTATCGTAGTAAGGGCGATAGTACGAGCTAGCCTGGTAACATCCCCCGGTCGACGAACACACCTACGCGAAAGATAAATCGCCCTCCCAAAAACCCCTATTTAATTCCCGACCGTAACGCCTTAATCTCGACAGGTGTGATGATATAAATAGCAGGTCAGGAGGAGATGACAGATATAATAGTGCAAGAATATCTGGCGCACCATAAGAATGCCGCTTCTTACTTCGGGAATGGTTGTAACTATAAAGGAGGGAGGGTAATACATATAGACTGAGTGTCAGGATGGACTCGTATTGATTGTGAAATATTATCGAGAAAGGTCTTGGCTCACATCGAAAAAAGATTCGAGGGCATTCCACTTGCGCCAGTAATTATAGTTTGATGAACTTTGGTAAACAGATTGTATTGTTCATATAGTGACTTTTTGGGCTAGACATTGTGTCCAATAAATAATTACCCCTAAGTAATTTCCTTATTAAAGCAGAGAGCCTTTATCAGGAAACATACCAATATTTTGTAATAGATCAAAATTTGGTACGAAGTTCTATTTTTGCCAGCTTCCTTATTAAGTTTAGTCAAGTTCATCGTCCAATAATTTTAGACTGCCATTAACTTGTGCTACGAAAAACTTATTATCCAATAGTCTGCTGTGGCTAATGTGGCTTTAAGTCACAAGGCTGCCGATTTTTTTAGGCATGACAAAGTTACTATTGTATTATATGACGTTGCCGTTTCTCAATAAGTAAAAAGCCTCAACTTATACAAGCCCTATTTGTTCTGATCTGCACAAATTTGAAAACAGCCAGTCAGAGAATGGCGCAAATAGAGGACAAATTTCCGTGTCTCGTTCCTGTTTTCGATCTGCTGTATGTCGCTTATGAGTTTTCAGAGGAAGAAGACTTCAAATCATCCTTTTTCAGTTTTCCTCTCTCTGCATGTTTTTGCGGCCACCAATCAAAGAGGGGCCAAATGAGAATAGATGAATTGAGTGACCATCATTGAACGACACTTACGCCGGTTAAACCAGCCGAAGATATCTCCGAAAATTGGTAATAAAAAATCACATTGAAGAAAATAAAAATTTAATATATAATACAATTATATAACCCGAACCCTATGAGGCGATACAACTTAAAGGAACAAAACGCTTGAACAGTTGCTTCTATTTTGTTATACCAATATGTTACGTATTTGTAATCTGGAGCGGCAAAATTGTATAATATACTGATTACAACATTTCCAAGGCCAATGTTTTAGTAGTACTTGTAATATGTCTATAGTCGCTGTCATAAATTATTGTTAAGTAGTATGTAAAAAGCTATTTCACTGTTAAATAGTGTGCCAAAAATTATTTAAAAACATCACATATTTATTTACTGATATATTGCAGTATTGACAAAGTTGAAAGTAGCCTCGATATTAAAGTAAAACACATGAACTAAGTTGACCATAAATAGCGAAGTCTGTGTAACAAATAATATACAAACGTTGAGTGTTTGACATTAACTGGCACTATAGAATTTTGTTTAGTACAAGTATCTTTTATCGTGCAAAATAGCTTTCACTATTACATATTACAATACAGTGAACCCTCTATTCAAGCACACCCTCGGGAATGCATCAGAGCGTGCTTGAATAGAGGGATGCATGAATAGAGGGT